TTATATGTTCAGGGTTTTGTGATATTACTACTGTAAGAGTTAAATTGAGTTTAACAGAGTTGTATAACTACAGAGATTATGTTGGAAAAATAAATACTGATGTTATATTTTAATATTCAATGTTAATTCAGCAGTATCCATTTTGTGTTGTTGGATATTGTTGTGAGGACTTTTATTATGAAAAGAGAGAGGGGTTGCGGGAAAACCGGAATAAAGGAGAGGGAGCGTTAAGAAGATGTCTTAGGGTTTTATTATATTAATCTTCTAACTTTCTCAGTTTTAAAGCCCCGAAAGCACCCACAAACAAGTATTACACTACTTATAAATTGTTGCCTTGTTTGTACATTTCTAAAGCTCAAATAAAGTTCACAAAAAGAAAAAAAACTCTTAGCCGGCTACACAACTGGAACCGCCTCTATGACGACACAACTTTTCATTATTGGCTGAAAATAAAACGAATCATCGGCATTCAACACAAATAAATCGTGAGTTGTAACGAGCAGCCTAGCTTCGAGTGCTCTGGAGTCTGCGATTGAAAATTAAAAAGAAGGATTAAATGGATTTTCTGAATTCTTTTGTCAAGTTCATGATTTCACTTCTCATCATCTCCCCTCCTGGTAAGTAATTCGTAACTATTAGATGTGTCGGTTGTCTAAACAGCACAGACTAGGCGCACAACGCAAATATATCTGCGCAACATTTTGTGAATAAAATATGAAGAATAATTTAACTCGTTTTAATCCAGATATAGACATTACATGATCATTCTGTGAACGTACCCCAGAAGATTGGTACGTGTGATTTTTGTTTTGGAAATGTGTTTTTGTTAAAAGGTTTTGGTTTGATCTTTGTCATTTTGTTAAAAACAGAGTTGGGCTGACCTTTACATTGACATTTTCAAAACACTTGTTTGGTTTTGTTGATTCGAATAGTGATCTTTTCGTTTTGAACTTTATATTCGTTTTGAACTATATTTAATTTATGGAAAATGCTTTATTCATACGTGTAAATTCACTGACAAATTTTTTTTTTAAATGTTTTCTTGGCAGATTTCAAATGTTATCTTAGAACTATTACTGGTTAACATAAATTATTAAGTGACTCCTATTTAAGTGTTATATTTTCCATTCAAGCATAGAGGCAACTGCCCTGCTCGTCCGCCTCGTTACCTCGTACGGAATCCCCGTCACTGATTAGCTAGGGTCCTGCTGGATAGTTTTGAATTTTAATTCTTTATTATAGAAATTATAATAAAAACTCCCCCGCCTGTCTTAATGAAACTGAAACCGAAATGAAATAGACACGTGGGATTGCTGGGTAACACCGGCAGAGTTTTATAAAATTTTTCGGTCGCCGTAAGGGGCAGGCCCTGCTGGACATGCTGAATGCCCGCATTACGGCTCGGAAACTCCCTCTGAGCAGTCAGAGAGCATGCAGTTCTCACTCAAAGGGACTTAAAGGGACTTAACTCATCTCAGGAGCTGGTGCCCGCTGTCCATCCTCTGCCATGACGGTACGGTTTTCTCCAAATTGCCTGCTAAGATGGGTATGGCGATGGACCAAATAATTCATTGCGGTCAGGCGTATTTTATGCTGAAATTACTGATTTTCGATAACACTAATTTCATTCGAGACACTTGAAATTTCAAAATTATTGGGTTTGAAATTTGGTCCTGGAGAAAGCCTTTGACACAGTTGAATATAACTACCTGTGGAACGTTTTAAAGGCATTTTTAATGTAGGTTTTATAAGCAAGGTAAAGTCATTGTACAATTATATTGTGAGTATATTAAAGGCTATTGGTGACGTCTGTGCTCCTTTTAGCATCTGCAGGGGTGTCAGGCGAGGGCTCTCATTATCGGTAATGTTATATTCGCCATCTCCGTGAACCATTATGAAGAAGCTACAGGAAGAACTCAACGGTTTTGCCTTGTCATGACTGGTGTGTTAAGCTTTCAGTATATGCTGATGATGTAATTTTTGTTAGTGGTCAAAAGGATGTTGATGTTTTACGTAATGTTGTTTGTGACTTTGGTGCGTTATCCTCGGCAATGATTACCTGGGATGAAATGAAATAAAGTGAAGCTGTTTTGGTTGGGGGAGTGGATGGTGTACTGTGAAGGAGGGGAGGTTTTTAATATCTGGGGTTTTTGGTTGGGATGACAAATCAGTGATGGAAAAACTGGGAGGGGGCTCTGAAAAGAATAAGAGGGCATCTTCAGAAAGGGACATAGTCCCCAGGATGTCTTAGAGGGACAGGGTTTTAATTGTAGATAATTTGACTACATGATTTTTATGGCAGACACATGTGTTTGGATCTGCCACCTGATATTCTGGTCCCAATCTGGATGACTGTGACAACCCCTCCTTGTGTTTCAAAGTGAAAATGGACATGGCTATTGATGTGTTTGGTGGTAAATCAATATACAGGGACTGTGTAAAGGTGTTGAATAAGAAAAAAAAATATTGCAGGAGCTGATACTTCATAGTAATGTGTACTTAGGTTGGGGAGTGACGATGGGCCACAGTAGAGAGCACTGTATAAGCCAGCTTTGCTGAAGAAAGTGGGGGACATGCAGTGGAGGGTGCTGTATGGGACTGTGACTGTTAATATTTTTGTTTCTGTATTAAGCCCTGGTTTTAGTGATAAATGTCCATTTTGCTTGTAACGGGAAACAATGTTTCATGTGTTTATAGATTGTTTTTGGCTGCTTCGTTTGATTTTTATTTTTTTTTGGACGACACTTTTTATACGGCCAGAGTAGTGGCTCTGAGGCTAGGGATCAGGAAGGTTGCTGGTTCAAATCCATTCACTTTTCTCATAGGTATTTTGCCAAGAGAACCAAATGGTCAAAAACATTATCAAACTGCCTACAAAATAACGTCAGACTTTCTATCTTTATTGGGTGGGAACCCGGCCAATCTGGCAACACTGGCCTCATGCTTGTGTTGTTTTATATTGTAACGTTGTACTGGTTAATGTCAGCCCGACATTAATGTGCAAATACAGTACCAGCCCTGGAGTTATGTCAACTGTTTAGTTTGTGTTTGTATTTGTGTCTTGTTTACAGTTTGATTATAGTTTGTGTGTGTGTGTGTGTGTGTGTGTACACTCTATTTTGGCCCAATATATTTCTCCCCATGTAAAGCAAGTCACCATCATGTAAATCTCTGTCCTGTTTGCTCACCCCAGAGCATCTTTCCTGTTAGTTGTAGTTATGTGTTATCTGGTGTGCTTGTGTTAGCTGTGTAGTTAAGGAGCATTTTGTAATGAAGACCGAGTATTTGTTTAATGTTTTACGATTGTGTTTTCCATTAATGATTTAGGCTTCACAGAACTAGTGAGAACACAGCGGCTTGTGATGGCTTCCCTTGGAGACGACGCTAACTTCACATGTGAGCTTACAAAACAGAAAAATGTGAAACAAGTGACCTGGCAGAGAGTGTCGGAGCAGAAGAGTGAAAACATGGCAACGTACAGTGAACGTTTTGGTGCGACTGTCACTGGGCCCTTCCGGGAAAATGTCAATTTTGTGGAAACGGGGCTGCAGCAGTGTTCCATAGTCATTAAGGGAATCCAGTGGAGTGATGAATCGTGTTACATGTGTCTGTTTAATGTCTTTCCTGATGGAGCCATCAGTGGGAGGACCTGCCTCAAAATCTATGGTAAAGTGACTTTGATTTATAATATCAAAATGATCAAAAATAACACCGAATCCAATGATTTCCCCATTATAACAGGAGACTGTTCTGTACTTCCTTTCTTTCAGAACTACACAATCCCATATTTGAATTAAACCCAGTTAATGTCAGTGATGACAGGATATTATCGCTTTCCTGCTCTGTCACCGGAAGGCCTGCACCAGAGGTCTCATGGAGTATTGAAGATACTGCTCTGGAAAATTCTACAACATTCTACACCAAAAATCCTAATGGAACTATAACCGTTACTAAAACTGCTACAGTTCAAATGACCCCCAGACTTCTTGCAAATACAACACAAATCAAATGTGCAGCACAGCAAGACTATGGAGAAAGGAAGGAAACTTTCATTACTGTCCCAAATGGTGAGACAGCTGATAACCAGTCTGATAAAGCTGATAAAGATGACACATCAGATACAGGACATACAGTCATCTTTTACACTGTCCTTGGTAAGCGCAGTCATCCTCCATACTTCATGATATATGGTAATTGTGTATTTCTCACATGTATTTGACATTTGGTTTTTATTCTTGGTTGTATTTCTCCTCAGCTGTAGTTCTTGGAGTCCTTTGTGGTTTCTTTGGATTCCTTCTACGCATGAAGAAGAGAAAAAAAGCGTGGCAGGGAGAAATTTAAAGGTCAGTAGTTTTGTCTATAGTGCTGGACATGTCAGGGTTAATGCGTGTACCTTTTGTTTAGTTAAAATCGGTACACTGTACAATTGTGGGAATCGCCTCGAATGGTTATTTTTTCCAGTCTAGCATACATGTTATCCTTGCATTTGTATGTATGTGGTTCAAATGTTTAGGTTTCATTATAGGGAACATAATTCAATGTTGTTTAGTGGGTCAACATCACAAGTCACAAGTGCACAAATATGTTCCACTACCTGTGATCACAGAACTGCTTTGAACAGAATCTGTGTTAAACCTGGCTTACTATGCCACAGATGTCTTTGACATAGATGGACAGTGTACCTAGAGTTTCTGCGGCTCATTAAAAGAATTAAAAAGCATTAAATCAATTTAACAAAATAAAGGCCATACATAGCACGAAAGAGTCTTAAATATGATTCCTGTAGGCAGGTATGATTGTAGGTATTTTTTTTTTTTTATAACTGTGGCAACAACTTAATGTAAAACAGTGATCCCCTCCAGACTCATGACCAAGCTGCACAGCTTTAGCCTGTCTCCTGCACTGTCCCATTGGATATTACATTTCCTCATTGACAGACCCCAGTCCGTCCACCTCAGCAAGCACTCCTCCAGCACGCTCATAATGAACTCGGGCACTCCTCAAGGATGTGTACTCAGCCTGACACCATACACCCTGATCACACATCACCGTGTCACTGCAAACCAGATAAAGCCATCATAAAATATAGCCTCCTGATTATCTCCTATATCTAACTGGTGAATTCTCTCCTGCCCCTTTACCACCTTAGTTACTGTGTGGTGGGTGAACTGGTGCAGAATTGCTGCCGTCGCATCATCCAGGTGGGTGCTACACAGTGGTGGTGGGTGAAGTGGCTCCCCATCGCTTTTCTAAAGCATTTTCAGTGTCTTGAAAAGTGGCATTAAATGTAAATGTACCATACATTCACTCACTACAGTGGGTGATCTGGATAACCCAGAAAATCACAGGAACTGATCTCTCTTCACTGCAGGACATCTAAGACAAGAAAATCTGCAGTTGGACCAGCAGTGTCATCAGGGATTCCACTCCCCCCGCCCATCAAATCTTCACTCTCCTGAAGTCTAGCAGGTGATCCTGGGGTGTTAATACAAGAACATCCAGACTCCAAAACAGTGTATACCCCCAGGCCATTAGAAACATCAACAACTGTCACTGTCTACCTCTTCAAGACCGGTCTCAAGACCACTTTTACGTGGTCTTGGTCTTGTCACAGTCTTGATGGTCTTTGGTCGTGGTCTTGGTCTCGCTGTCTTGGTCTTGCTGTCTCAGATCGACATAGTGGTTGGGAGATTTGGAGCGAAAAGTATCCATGACACACAACGTAACGTTCGATAATGCAACATAATTATTATTTCGCCTTTCGCGCCCTTCAAATGCAACCAATCAATGATATACATGCATTTTGTTGTGATTCAGACATTGGCGCTCATCCAATCAAAATACGCGTTATATGCGCAAAATAAGTGTAGTGCTAGTTAAACGTTGGATCCAGCATCACAGGCTATAAGATGTTGCAATGCCTCTGTAGCCTGAAAACAAGAACGGAACGGTTTAAGAAGAGTTTTTACCCACAAGCAGTGAGACTCCTAAACCACAGCACATAACTGGACAACATGATGGACAACTACACACACAACACAACGGACAACGACACACAATCTACTTACTTAATTTCTTCCATCTGGAAATTATAAAAACATCTGTACCTCATGGCACATCTGCACCTTACC